AAAATCGGCGTGTTCCGTACCCGAAAAGTCACGTGGTATGGCCACATTGCGATTTAACTCTGACATTTTGATGATATGTAAGTACTATAGGAAGAGCACCGAAACACGAGGCTATCTGATTTGCCGAGTGTTTTGATGTTCTTACTATTTTGTATTACGTTCCCTTTATGCAATCCCAGAAAAAAGTAATCAATGAACGTGCATCTGCATGTGATATTTTTATCTGTCGTCACAATAAGTAAACCGAAGAATAGCCAATCGAAGTGCTTAACTGGAGTTTGGGTAACTTACAACCTGTCCTCCAGTTAACGCACTGTGCATGTTAACACGATTGAACTCTTGCTCATTTTCAACAGAAAGGTCCCCAAACAACGTTACAATAAATGTATGTTTGTTTTTGTACATTTTAGTTGATCTACCTGACGGAGGATTTCAGTGTATCACGTGCGGAAAGAGATTCAAGTTCACATCAAAGCTTGTAGAACATCTGCGCGTTCATACCGGAGAGAGACCATACAAGTGTAAGCAATGTGGGCGGGGCTTTACTCAAAAAGGCGCCCTCAAAGGTCACATGATCACTCATTATAATGTGTAATTTGTGTGCCACTTCCCAGCTAAGTATGTTTATGAAATACATACATGTATGTGCAAACTTTTGAGCCTTCTTGGAAATATTTCTTTTTCGATGATAGAAAAAAAACAAGAAGTACTTAAAGTCATTGATGAAGACAAACTATATATCTATTAAATTATCATTTTATTGAAGGGAGTGTTAGAAATTTGTTGTTAGATCTTATCTTTGTTATTATGAAATCTCGTCTTAATCGATTAATGGTAGGAAGCATCAGATAGATGAAAAAAAGTTAACAATTTATGTCTTATTTACTTGAAATCACATTTGAATAAATTTAAATCCATTTTCGTCAACTTGTGTGCGTTCATATTTTAGATTATTCTTTATATTGGCTAATCAAGGTCACGTAGTTAAGTCATTAAAAAAATTAAGTACATGTATTACACAATTAAATGGACACCATTTTTGTGTCGCCTCGAAAAAGGCGACATATAGGGTTACTTAGGTCGGCGGCGTCGGCGTCCCCTTAAGCTTGCCCGGCGCATAAGTCAGTCATTATAAGTCTGATTGACTTTTAACTTGGTATGCTTGCTTCTTATAATGACCCGAAGTGCAGTGCACAAGAACCAGTACTCTGCACTTCTTATTTTTTGAGTTAGTGCCCTTTGTTAATTTTCATACTTTATTTTTGTCCAGGCCATTTCTCCTAAAGTATAAAAGTTATGGACATGAAAATTCATAGGATGATATATCTTATTAAGAAAAAGTGCAGTGCACAAGAACTGGTACTCTGCACTTCTTGTTTTTATGCCACCGCAGCATCTGCGATGCGTAGGCATATAGCGATTCACCTGTGTGTTTGTGTGTGTGTTATATAGATTATATAGTGAACTTAAAAAATCTACTTGTGAAAAACCACTAGTCCAATTTCAACCAAACTTGGCAGGATTGTTCCTTGGGTGAAGGGCTTCCAAAGTTGTTCAAAGAATTTCATTCCATGCAGAAATCTGGTTGCCATGGCAACCAAAAGGAATTATAAGAATAAATTTAAAAAATCTTCTAAAAGCCTAGAGCTTAGATATTTTGCATAAGGCATTGTCTGGTAGACCTCTAACAAGATTGTTCAAATTATAGCCCTGGGGTCAAAATTGGCCCCGCCCCGTGGGTCATTGATTTTCACTATGTACATTTAGTAAAAACTTAAAATATCTTCTTGTAAAAACCCAAAAGGCCTAGAGCTTAGATATTTTGCACAAGGCATCATCTGGTAGACCCTTACCGGGGTCATTGATTTTCGCTATATGTACATATAGTAAAAACTTAAAACACCTTCTTGTAAAGACCCAAAAGGCCTAGAGCTTAGATATTTTGCATAAGGCATTGTCTGGTAGACCTCTACCCAGATTGTTCAAATTATAGCCCTGGGGTCAAAATCGGCCCGCCCCAGGGGTCATTGGTTTTCCTTATATGTATTTAGTAAAAACTTTAAAAAAAATCTTCTAGCAATTGACAAATGGTAGAGGTTAGATATTTTGCATGAAACATTGTGTTGTAAACCTCTAGCAAGATTGTTCAAATTATAGCCCTGGGGTCAAAATTGCCCCCGGCCTGGGGGTCATTGATTTCAATATATACATATAGTAAAAAATAAAAAAATGTTATTATCTGAAGGTACAAGGCTTAGAGCTGTAATATTTGTTAAATAATATCATCTAAAGGTACTCTACCAAAGTTGTTCAAATTTTGCCTCTTGTGTCAAAATTAGCCCCGCCCTTGGGAGCCATAGGTTTATCTTATATGTATATAGTTAAAACTTAAAAAATCATCTTCTCTAAATTTACAAAGGATAGAGTTAAGATATTTTGCATGAAACATTGTGTAGAGAACCTCTAGCAAGATTGTTCAAATTATAGCCCTGGGGGTCAAAATTGGTTCCGCCCCGGGGGTCATTGATTTTCATTATGTACATATAGTGAAAAAAAAATTTTGTCTGAAGGTTCAAGGCATTCTAGCTTTGATGTTTGATATATAATATCATCTATAGGTCCTCTACCAAAGTTGTTCAAATGTCAAAAATTGGCCCTGCCCGGGGGCAGTGATTCTCATTATGTACACGTAGTAAAAACAGAAAATAAAACAAATGTTTTCTGAATGGGAGAAAGCTATAGCTTAGATATTTGACTTGAAATGTTGTTTGGTGGACCTGTATCAAGATTGTTATTAAACCCTTGGGTCAAAATTATGCCTTGCCCAAGGGGACAGTGGCCTACTTTCTTGTCCTTTGATGTTCAGCAATGACATTTTGACCATGTGCACAGTTTTAGTTGTAAAATTGAACTTTGACCTAGATTTTGATGATGTGACCTACTTTCTTGTCCTTTGATGTACAGCTATGAAATTTGAACCATGCGGTGGCATAGCATTTTTCTCAAATGCAATCTTGTTGATTTATTACCCTTTATTAATTTCCATTCTTTATTTTTGTCCAGGCCATTTCTCATAAAGTTATAAAAGCTATGGACTTGAAACTTTATAGGATGATAGATCTTATTGATAAGAAGTGCAGTGCACAGGAAATGCTGCTCTGCACTTCTTATTTTATGAGTTATTGCACTTTGTTAATTTTCATATTTCATTTTTGTCCTGGCCATTTCTCCTAATCTATATACACATCCGACTCGCGGAGTTCTAGTTCATAATACTTTTTTAAATTTCCTACCATGATATTAGCTCTCACACCCCATCAAGGACGAGATTGATATTGCTACATCTAGGCTGACCTACACATTGACACATTATATATTTGTGCAGTCATAGGAGATGGGTAGTTTTGTTGCGTTACACCAACGTAATATTGAATCAAGAAAGGTGTTAAACAGATCTGTGATAAGTGAACATATATTCTTATATAAGCTATTTGATTAAAAACCAAGCCCCACAACTTTGTTTCTTTAATTTTCATTATTTCTTAGTTTGTTTAACTTTTTTACGCCAAGTTTTACTTTTGCTTATGGTTAATCATCGCTGGTCGATCCTCATAGCTGGAATCACTGGATAAATAACAAGTAATTACCAATTTATCCGCAAGTAACCGACCATATTTCAGTTCATTTACAAAATTGCCTAAAATATGCCTCAATAATAATAAATTATGCTAAAACGAATACAAATTTTGATTTTAACTTTTGTTATTATAACTTATGCCGATATTACAACGTTTGTATGGTGGAGACATACTTCATGGCGCCTTGGTGGATCCGAACGCTACCTTGGATTCAATCCTGTAATGAAGACGTGCAAAACTCTCGTTCTGTTTAAGCCGATGCGCCGGCGTGCATTTTCCAGCACCTACCATACACAAATTCAATCAAACTGAGCCTGAAACATTTTCAATTTTGCCGTTTTGAACGTGTTTAGGTATTCTTTTTTTGTCTATATTGCATCATTTTACTTGACATAAATATCGCGATACCACCGGAATACTACCCCCTATTCTAAAATAGTACGCATATTTATACTTTAACATCTGAAAATGATGTCAAGTGCAATTAAAAGAATGTTTTTAATGTCTCATGCAACTCTTATTTACGGGATATTTATTACTATTTGCTCCTTAGTTTTCTTCATAATTTGTGGAATACATTTTTTACATTTTTCATCGTCGCTTCATTACCGTATTTGGCCGGTGAAAAACGGACTGTACATATTAAAAAAAAAATAAGAATAAAATATTATCTCAGTTATTCTGAGAAGAAGAAACTAATCTGTGCTTTAGACAGAATTTTCAACAGCAGAAATGTCAACGCTTACTTATATCAACAAGTGTATTGATTAAAGACCATCAGAAACAGGACGAAGTGACAACCAGCCCTTCATGATAATGTCCCTCGGGCTAATTAAAGCCTTTTGAGGCAATTATTCATGTAACACGCCGATTATCACCTGGCAATGGTAAATGTCATTTCAAATCTAAAACGGAATATCATACAAATCGTATTTGTTTGGCATCAGAAAATGGTGTTTTATTACGAAAATTGATAAACGTTATAAACATATATCGCCGATCCAAAACACGGCATATTCCACATGGACTTGTCGAGTTTACCTTAGGTTAGAGTTTTGTGCCTTATTACTCTCTAAAGAAGAACCTTCAAGTCAGTCTGCAACGGAATCAGAGAAATCGTGTTAATGGTTGGCACAAGAAAATTTGACGAAATTAATGCACATTCTGTAACAAATCGCCGTTTTAAGAAACGGCCACGCTATACGGCCTGTCGAGGACATGTTCCTTGGGCCTTATATCGCTATCAAGAAAAACCTCTAAATTAATTTGAGGGCTAATCCACAACGGAATCAGACAAGTAATATTCACACGATTGGCACCAGAACACAATCGATGTCTCCTTAAACTTGTGATTTTTGATAATACAATAATACTTGATTTATTACAACAAAATTAAACGTAATTTCATGTTATCGTCGACAATAGCGGACATTTTCAGTGTACTCCGTGACTGACAGGTCTTTATCCGACAATAGACACATCTTCTCTGAAAAAACACAATGACACAAATATACGTTTTCTCGATACAACACGTCAAAGGCTAACTGAAATATAAATTTCAATGTCAGGACATATTTCGCTTGTTCAAAATTATATTCAATATACACAAATCAAAATTTAAGTTATTTGTTAACAACACTCAAACTGATAAACTAAAATGTAAATTCTTCATCATTAATAATTCAATAATAAGGTTTGGGAAAGTATATGTATCACATGTACTTATATACATACTGGGACAAGCGGGGTGCTGAAGGGGATAAATTCTTGGGCAGTATATAAAAATGTTTATAAGAATATTTTTCGTGTCAACCAATCAAAATTCGAACATGATAAAACGAATATTATGTTTTATGTATAGGATATCAACCGAGCTTGAGGTTTTTCTGTTTGGAAAAGACCTGGTCATCAATTTCATGTGACACCACCCGAGGTATTTAATGCAATTCGTGACCAGCTTTTTCATCACCTTTTGCGAGCTTTTTTAGACATTAAATGAATGTTATATTGTGTTTTCTGTAATGGGCATGTGGACGAATATCACCAGCAAGGGTTGTAACAAAAACTTACACTGGTTGTTCGCAAATATACAGCTGTGACCTATCACACCTCTCATCATTCCAGCCAGGTATAGATCTCAGGTCCATACAATTCTCATTTTGAACGAGGTTATTTGGCTCTCCAGTTAACCAATTTTTGTAACCGATATCTTCATTTGTACTAACCCATTTCCATTCTCCTTCATTCATCAAGTCGTTACCGCCAACCCAATGGTTCACTATATAAATATAAATTTAGTTTCATTAAATTTTGTGTTTAAATATAATTAAATTGGCCTGTATAGATACGTACATATTATTCAATAAACTGTAAGTAGTCATACATATCTTTAAAACAACAATTTATTTTCATGATTTGTAAATAAACTTCACAAAAATATTTTTTTTTAGATTTCATATGCACACAGGAAAAATATTTGGTTCAACACATTTTATTTATTACAAAGTAAGTTTGACACTGCTTTTGTCTATTAAAATGTAAGTGAGATTGCATCAATTTTGAATCAACCCATGTTTTTATTGAAACAGCCAAAAGTCGTGATTTAAGTATTGCATAGAGGAGCTTACAGTATATAACCCCTCCAAGAGAAGTCTCAAATATTTCCTAACGTGTCGATTTAACATATTGAACTGAACAACAATTTAATAAATCGATAGCTATTTGAATAGGCCTGTTTTATAAAAAGAATGATTATAACCAACCTTTCAGTCTTTGAACTTCATTTTGCAAGAAAGCATCTTCTGTTTGTGTAGTTATGTCAGCTAAATATGCACCAAAGGTCTTACAAACTTCCTGTAAATTTATGACAAATTCTGATGAAGGACACTCAAACGCATCACCCACTATCGTGCACCAAACATTAAAACATTCTAAATTTCCTTGATTTGCGAAATTCGACGTTCATATCTCTTTAAATACATACATACACTTTAATCTCATAGTAAATTTCGCGAGCCAAATCAAATTCAACCAAGATAAATGTATTTCATAATACACTTATGACAAGTCCATGCTATATACATGTATTACTTTTGAGGTAATTGCGTTGAAGGGCGAAGTAAAAATGTATAAAGTCTTTATCACTAACTTGTATGAGACTTTGTAGGGACATTAAATATGACCTGTTGACCCCTATTGACTATAATTATCGTTAGGTCATGGCCACACTAACTCATAATATTCAGTTATAGATTTGTAAATCTTACAAATTTACTACATGTAGTCATACTATTTTTAATACATGTATATAAATGACGCACTTGTATTGATACAGCAGTTGACTGTTAAAAGATATGAAAGTATATAAATATGCCACTGGGTCAGCAGAAGAAATAGGAACACACATGTCCTATGCGAACGTACCTAGTTATCTCTTTTTTCCTGTTTATTATGTTAAATATAAAACCGTTGCTATCTATATGAAGTTAAACGGTTATCAGGACTACTACAAGTTCAGATTCTGATATAACTTAAAGCTGAATTTAACATATTGTCGTAAAGGTAAACCGTGTTTTCTTTTTTTTAACTTATCAAAGGATTCAAACCTGAGCAAGCATCCAAGGTTCGGTGTCATGACTAAAGTGATAGCAGCTCGAATCATGTTTGGTCCATCCAGATGGACATTGTGCGCCACCTATATCAAAACATCACATTATATAACTGTATATAGGTCTGGATCAATAACTCGTGTATAAAATTTCAGATCATTTGCTGACTTCGTTAACCTGGAATAATCAGTTTTATTGTGCAAACTTACCCATGTTTACATGTTATCTATTTCTAACGTTTCCGTTTTAAGTGCATAAATAGGATTATAAAATAATTTCAATTTTATTATTTTAGACTAATAGACTTCAGAGGAGTTCCTTTAACCCATTACTTCATATACACGCCTTTTAACGCCTTCCCCCCCCCCTTTTTGTTGTCTCAAATGATGAAAAAATGCCTTATTTAGGCCCCAAACACTTGTTTTTGTTTGAGAAATGTTGTTAAAAAAAGTGACCTCTTTTTCGGCGCGGCCCCCCAACCAAAAGATACATCAGGGGGTTGCCAGAAGGGGGATGTGCCCCCTTCTGTTTGGGGGGGTTGAAGGGGGGTGGAGTCCCCCTCATCGCCAAGAAAATTTTGGACTTGTAAGAGGCTGTAAATGACCCCAGATTGATCATAAGGTAACGTGTAACCAACGCTGAAAAGCATTTGACTCTATCTTAATCCATTGAGAAGTTGCAGCACTTTGAAATCAATTTTGATGGAAAAAATCAACGCAAAATAGTGATTTTTGGCAATTTTGAGATGTCCCCTTGTTGCCATGGTAACAGAAAATTTAAGCCTGAGCATGTTGTTGCACGGGCAATGGTCCAGTCAACATTTGTGCCAAGTTTGATTAGTGTTGAAGCAGTTTTTATAGTATTATAGCAATTTGAACTTGTAACGGGAGACTTTTCAATGAAAACAGCCATTTTTCACAAAATGCTCATGAAGTAATGGGTTAATATATTAGCCGGCTATATTTAACACATGTGCGCCTTTTATATTTAAATTCAATCGGTAGCGCTATAGTACGGTGCTTTTACGGTCTTGGGTCCGAGTCGCAGTCAGGATGTACAGTTTTTTTCACACAGTTACATGTGCCAGTGTAGTAGATGCCTTCCTTCATTTACTGGTATGATATACAGTTCGAGAACGTCGTCAGTTTACAACAAAACGAGCCGCAATTTATGGCACAGTGCCTTGTGTCGTAGAGAGACTTTAAAACCAATTTTGAGGCTTGTTCTTAAGCCCCTAACATTGACCTGAGTGACCACCACCTGAGGTGAAATGCAAATAAAGCTTCTAAAAATAGACATACCTTGCCAAGAGAAAACAACAAGAATCAATGTAAGTACGATCCACATTTTCATTCCTTATCAAAAACTTTATGAAGAAATATAAAACCTTTAGTGGTACATGCTGACCTTCAAGATAATGTAACATTTAAATATACAGTATGATTTCATATGTTTATGTAAATTAAGTTATTTGTAAAGTTTAATGGCAATAGTTAATATGATGATGTTGTTATTGATGTTGATGATGATGACTTGAATTAAAATGTATAGCTGAAACTGAAAAATACTGTTTGCAAAAGATCACAGATAAGAAATTTAATCAATGAATATTTGTTTTTACTTTCTTATCATAACGGCCTTTTAAATAGTTCTTATTTTAGATAAATATATGTCAACGAAGTATGTGATGCATTGGACGCAATGAGACACTATTTTACTTTTATAGTTTACTTTCTTTTCGTTTGTAGTTCTCTGTTCCGTTACTTAGCAGTAGCAAACGTCAAAATGTTACCAACTGTAAGTGCAAAGAATGTAACAGCGCATTTCTGTCCGTTTCCGTGCAAATTTGGCAACAAGATGGTATGTTATCCTCCCCCGTGTCCTCCACCGCCATGTGTTGATCCTGCAAGGAACACATCAGATGACTGTTGTTTAGGCTGTCCACACGGTGAGAATTTGCTTTCTTTTTTCTACTGTTTTTGAAGTAAATGTGCGTTTGTACAGAGTCACAGATTGGTCATGTCGAGCGTAAGGTGTTCTTGGTTTAACACAAATACAGCCAACAACTGCCGTCATAATAGGAAACTTCATTTCCGGTATCACAAGAAAGGCAGCAAGCACCACCTTGATGCTGAATAATAACGCGGCATCACGAGATTTTTATGACTTGATATATAGATACATATTTAGTTAACTGTTTATATTTTTTATTTCTTTTCATTTTTTTAAGCACATTTTGTCAAATCTCGGCGGTTGATCAATTTTACCGACTTTCATGAATGATGAATAGTATATAATTACATTTGTATCCATATAAGACTGACAACTAATACAACATGATTCCGGAATCAGCAGTGAGAGACAAATGACAGAGATCCGTTGTCACGGAACAATTTCACTTCGCTCGAGGATCGAACCAGCGACCCCTGCATTTATTTATATTGTTAAAAATAATGTGAAGTGCTACCTTAATTATGGGGTCGAAAAGTTACGCGTAAGCGTCTGATAACGATCAAGGCTTTATTAATCGAGGAACAGGACATGAAGTGGTTGCAAACTTAGTTCAAGCTACAAAAGTGGTCGCAAACTTGACAAAATTGCTACCGAGTCATGATTAATTACAATACGGCACGTTTTGTCATTAGGTAATTTTATGTGTATGTTTTTTTTAATTTTTTAATATTCCCATTCCTTATAACAATATTAACGGTACGCTCGATTTAAGGTTTCTACTTCCTAGCTTCTGATTTGACAAGTTATTGAAGATATAATTTGGTCATGCACATATTTTGAGATTTGACAGGTGACCATTCTGGTCAGATTTTCTACTAATTTATTCATATCTTTAAGATTTGAATTTTATCAAACAAGACAAAATACATGCTTATTTCTGTCAAGTTTGTGTAAATGTTTTAATTTGTTTGTTCTAATTAAAGTTTAAATACACACAGATATTTTGTTCAAGCGCATTTAAATTCAAGAAAATGAGCATAAAAATCGCACTGGATTGTCACTTGCCAAATTTCAAAATATGTACGTGACCAATTGATATCTTCAATAACTTTGTCAAATCAGAAGTTAATAAAATGAAGCCTTACACCGAGTGCGTCTTAAACATTGTCTTGAGGAATGAGCATATTAAAAGAAAACTCAAAATAAAATACTGACAAAAATACGCGCGAGTGCTGTAAATATTCATGTCGCGGTAGCAATTTCGACAAGTTTGCAACCACTTTTCTCGCTTGAACCAAGTGTGAAACCACTCCACGTCCTGCCTCTTGATAAATGGTCAATATTAACAAGTGCGAGAAACACAGATAAATATTTGGTACGGAAGTTACCGAAAATGTCCGAATTTATACGAACAAATTATGAACTGAAAATCTTAATTCTTGAAAATATTAAAAGGATTCCGTTTTATTTGCTTTGCACATACTTAAATAAATAATATTTATTGAATTTTGAAAACTTTCAGGACCTGATTGTAGAGGTCCTTCCGGGAGTGTTATTCTATGGAACCATTGGAAAATAGTTGACGGGAAAAACTGTACTTGTAAATATATATTACAGGACGCGGTGTGTGCATGAAGTTTTATGTTTCTTATTTCGTGTAAATATCATTGGCTTTCATGAAAAAATAAATATTATATCATAATTTTTTTTCAATGTTTAGAATGTAAATATTCAATCATTTTCCAACTGGAATAATAACAGTTTATCCTCTACCACATCCGCGCAATCAGGTCAGACTGGCTAGCTTGAGATTTTAAACAATATACCCCCAAAAGTATTTATTTTCAGTACCTAAAATGAAAGCTAGACAAGTCCATGTAAGAAATTTAACAGATAATGAGATAAATATTAAAAAGCGGTCTTACACATCTCGACTACGCTGGACAAAATAGGTCCAAGACTTTGTCATGATATTCAAGAAATCATGATTACCCTTTCTACTTTAAAACTGACTGGCCAATTAACTACTTAAATTTCAATCGTTCTTTTACAAAATTACATATATTCTTGCTAAACACATTTTTAATGTTACTACGCCAGCAGTCGATAAATTTTTAAAAAGTTCAACCGACTGGTTCCCGATGCGAGCCTAAGAACGTGCATGAATATAGTACCAATATTATTAAGTCATGTAAGTGAACTTACTATCACAGAACACAACAAGTAAACAAGAGGGCCATGATGGCCCTGAGGTCGCTCACCTGTATATAGCCCCCCCCCCGGGCCAATTTTTACCCAAGGGCTTTTATTTGAACAGACTTAGTAGACACCCATAAGAAGATGTTTCATGCTAAACATCTAAGTTCTAGCTCATTGGGTTTTTTAAAAGAAGATTTTTTAAGTTTTTACTATACACATATAGTTAAAAACAATGACACCCCTGGGGCAGGGCCAGTTTTGACCCCCGGGCTTTTATTTGAACAAACTTTGTAGATATTTACTTCAAGATGTTTCATGTATAATATCTAAACTCAAGCTATTTGGGTTTTTTCAAAGAAGATTTTTAAGTTTTTGCTATACACATATAAGGAAAATCAATGACCCCCGGGGCGGGGCCAGTTTTGACCCCAGGGCTTTTATTTGAACATATTTGGTAGACACCCATTAGAACATGTTTCATGCTACATATCTTAGCTCTAACTCTTTGAGTTCTTTAAAAGAAGATTTTTTAATTTTTACTATATGCATATAGGGAAAATCAATGACCCCCTGGGGCGGGGCCAATTTTGACCCCAGGGCTTTTATTTGAACAAACTTGGTAGACACTCACTAGAAGATGTTTCATGCTAAATATCTTAGCTCTAGCTCTTTGGGTTCTTTAAAAGAAGATTTTTTAAGTTTTTACTATATGCATATAGGGAAAATCTATGACCCCCTGGGACGGGGCCAATTTTGACCCCAGGGCTTTTATTTGAACAAACTTGGTAGACACTCACTAGAAGATATTTCATGCCAAATATCTTAGCTCTAGCTCTTTGGGTTCTTTAAAAGAAGATTTTTTAAGTTTTTACTATATGCATATAGGGAAAATCTATGACCCCCTGGGGCAGGGCCAATTTTGACCCTAGGGCTTTTATTTGAACAAACTTGGTAGACACTCATTAGAAAATGTTTCATGCCAAATATCTAAGCTCTAGCTCTTACGGTTCTTTAAAAGAAGATATTTAAAGATTTTTCTTTCGGTTGCCATGGCAACCAGAGTTCTGCATGAAATGGAATTCTTTGAACAATCTTGATAGAGCTTCATACAAAGGGTATTCCTGCCAAGTTTCATTAACATTGGCCTTGCGGTATCATAGAAGATGTCCTTAGAATATTTAAAATGTGGACGGACGACGGGCGCCATTTGGTTGGCCATCCTAAAAGCTCACCTGCACTTTGTGCAAGGTGAGCTAAAAAACATTGAGAAACGTATTTTTACAGATCAGATAATTTTAAAGTTTAAAATGCTTCTAATGTGCAAATGTATTTTAAGAACACTGTATGCGTATGAATACGAACTATTTTCTCATGTTGACAGATATAATCAATCGCGACAGTTCTATAGAAGGCACACGACTAGGCTACACCATGCACAGTTCAATGCAATGATTCAACACTGACAACAGTGTTCAATGTTAATTATCATTATAAAATGTTTTTCACTATATTGGGCCTACAAGATACAAGATACAAGAAACTTTATTTTAAGTCGGTTTACATATTACAAGAAACATTAGCAAATAAGCTATTTACCGACAATAACAAAGGCATAAAACATATTTACTAACATATAACAGATCTGAAAATAAAAACATATAAAACTAGTTGCAGCTTTAAGCATGAAATAAAAGTATCAAGGTTAAGAAGAACTTTACAATAAAATGGTAAATTAAGGCATAGTTTGATGACATGCACAGTACATATTGTATTAAAAGTAATAACAGTTTATAAAAGTAATAGATGACTGTAGTCTAGAAATTTAAGTATGATACATGTAGCAGTGTGAAATAAATGAAAATAATAATAATAAAAATATAAAAATTAATAAAATAGTAATAGTTTAAAGTTAACATCTAGAATTTATACGTAATTGAAGATTTCCTAAAAAATAATAAATAAATAGATTAATAAATTCACTTACTTATAATAAAAAGTGCATAAAATGTATGATAGAACTAAAACAGCATAAAAAGAAACAAGATAAAGCACATACAGGGTAACAATCAAAGTTAACTAAAATTAAGTTGCATGCACAGCCTAATGGAAGGGAGGATAAAAAGTTTTAATATGAACAAAGCATACAAATCATACAGCAAAGATTCAACTAGCATAAAAATATAGGGTTTAAGGAAAATTAACACACAGCATATAATCAAAGCATCATAGCAAACTAAAAAGGGATGCACAAAAGCAAAGCAAACAAACAAACTAAGCAAAATAACAAACACATAGCAAATTTACAGACACATAGCACATTTACAACTTGGGCCACTCCAGACCTGGATCAGTCTCCCAAACTCTTTGTAGTTTTCAACCTTGCGGATGTCATAAGGGAGACTGTTCCATATCTGGGCGCCTTCAACCTAAAAGAATTCTTACCGTATGTTACTGTTTTGACCCTTGGAACATTTACACTTTTTTGATACCTAAAAGAATAATTGGAATTTTTAAATTGAATTAAATCATTTATATATGGTGGTGATTTTCCATACAGGCATTTAAACACTTCTTTGGCTATAGTTTTAGTTCTTGACAAATGTAAAGTAGGCATATTTACTTTTTTTTAATAATGTGTCATATGAAGAATTAAAATCATTAAATACTATTTTTAGAGCTCTATGCTGGAGTTTTTCAAGTTTTTCTGAGTTTGTTTTAGAGCAAAAATGCCAAACAAGGGGACAGTAGTTAAAATTAGATCTAATAAAAGATTTGTAAATAAGAAGAAGACATTCTGAATTTAAAAATTTCCTAATTCTTAAGAGCACATTTAATTGATTGGCAGCTTTTTTACACATTCTGGTGACCTGTATATCAAAGTTAAGTAAAAAGTCTATGTCTACCCCTAGCAGTTTAACACAATCTTCACATTTTATTGTTACATTTCTTTTAATTGTTCATTTGCAATTTTCCCAACAGCTATGGCTTGAAACTTGTCATGGTAAGCTTGCATTTTATTAATGTTAAACCAGTTGATAAGTATTTTACTTTCATTTTCTAATGTGTTTTTCAGTATGTCTATTGTAGAGTTGGAGAAGGCTAGAGTATTGTCATCTGCATAATTGTAGAGAATGGATTTATCTATAAAGTAAAAAATATCATTCATGAAGATGTTGAAGATTAAAGGACCAAGAATAGAGCCTTGTGGCACCCCCTCAATTGTTTCAAGCCAAGTGCTATGATACTCTCCTATTTTAACTGTTTGTTTCCTGTTTGATAGATGGTTTGAAACTAGAGAACATGCATTTTCAGACAACCCATATGCCTCTAGCTTTTGGACTGTAAGTTTATGCGGTAGACAGTCAAAAGCCTTGGACAGGTCCATTAGGATTGCTGCCACATGCTCATTTCTTTCTAACGCCATCTTCCAGTCCTCAACCAGACGCAAAAGAGTTGTCTGACATCCGTAACTTGGTCTGAAAGCATGAAATTATAATTTGTTACATTTTGAATTACATTTACACACAGCATATCAAGTATACTATTAGTGATTGAATTTGTCAATATAAAGACGATTTCAGCATAAGATTTTAATAATTTTGCTTTTGATAATTATTCTTAATTTATATTTATGAAACTAAATGGTTAATAATGATATGTTGATGGATTGGTTGTTTTGAAATAATTATAACTTTAGTATATAAGGTTACATTTCATTGGTATCGAGGGTAAACAAACCCAAACACACAAAGTATCATTGGTAATGCACGGCGGTAAATTATCAACACTTTGTGCTTCAAAATTAAGCCTTTAAGGGCATGACTGGTGACATTTCGGGGTCGGTACTCGACAGCGAATGCTGCATTGGATGCATTTTTTTTAAATTAAATATCTGGCCCCTCTTTTTAATTATGGACAGTGCATAAGATAAGTATAATTATGCAAAAAATGGTTTACAAAACATTCGGAACAATCTACAATAGTACTTACTCTGAATATAACACGACCTGTGTGTAGGTATCTGTAATTAGCGCATTTTTTTGTGCGGAGCTTCTCAATTGCTGCAGTGCAGCAACATTTGTACTTGTTTTACAATAAGTTTTCCGGCAACGTATATACGATTAATCAATCGGCCACTACATTATCAACCAAGTCTGGATGTTTTTCTTAATTATTTAAACGGTATAACATTGTTCATTACATGTTTTTTTTATATTTAAACATTTTTATTTCAGGAAAACCACAACAGTCCAGCCCCAAACGTTTAAAGCCCACAAAAACATATTGCACTGTTGAGTAAATGTATATAATCTTCTTTTCTTCGTTAACTCTATATTGTCATAGCGGTGTTTTAAAGTCTTGTAAACAATGTTTTATAATTAAATGTTCTGTCTTTGTATGTAATGTTAAAAAAGTAATACATATATTTACGAATTACATGTATAAGTTTAGGTTAAAAAATAGATGCCAAATTTTTGTTTACATAGTTTTTTATTCATTGCAACAGG